CCGCTTGCCCCCACTATCCCTGACACAAGCCAGGATGCCGTTGGCTGCCTTGGCCACCTGGGCACACTGCTGGCTCGTGTTCAGTCGGCTGTCGACCAGTACCCCCAGGTCCTTTTCTGCTGGGCAGCTTTCCAGCCACTCCTCCCCAAGCCTGTAGCGTTGCGTGGGGTTGTTGTGACTCAAGTGCAGGACCCGGTACTTGGCGTTATGGAACCTCATACAATTGACCTCATACATGTTCCAGGCTACAAGACTTTCCGTGATATATTAAAATATGAAACCTACATCTTATGCTCAAATCTTCCTGAGGTCGTGTGAAGTGTGCTTCTTTGGTGAAGGTTTTGTTTTTAAAGTATGTACACCATGCTCTCTAATTATCTTATTAAAGCAAGAATAGGTAGATGCCTTTCACCTGAACGTTACCTAGAGTAGAATGCTTTTTTTCTAGTAAAATGCTTGGGCACACTGCACCCTTTTCATTCCCAGAGACGACATATCTCTTTTGTGAAAATAAGAAAGCTGTTTGTAAATATTTGATATGTCTTTGCTGTTCTTAGTTTCAAGATGATAACTCACACTTAAGTTGTCCTATATGAAAAAGGATCTAACTTCCCAGCATTTTGTCTGTGGTACTTGGAACACAGTTTAGGAAAATCTAAAGCAAAAATGTTGAAGGATTGTTTTTAAGGTGTTTCTATATATGGTAGCACTTTAATGTAGGCATTCTGAAAGGGGTTCAGGAAAGTATTCGGATAAATATTCAGTTGAATATACTAATGTAGCTAATTATGGGCAACTTAGATGCTATTTATTTTTTTAGAAACAATAAAAAGTACTCTCTGTAATCCAATATTTATTGCAGAAAGAAATGAAAATCCAAAGCTGTTCACCAGTACTTTTAACTTCCAGTGTGAGACAGCTTCTGCAGCATTATGGTTGTCCTATTCAGTGTACTTTTCAAAATGACTGTTTGTAAGAGAAGTAGTGCTTGTTTTAAGTACAGATCAATGGTTTTCTACACAGGTAGCATTACTTAGCATTCAAACAATTATAAACAAGAGAGAGAAGGAAAGAAATGAAGATTTGAGCCTTAGGATCCTAGCATTAGGATTCTTTGCCACTTCTTCTTTTGCATTACATCATGATGATGTTGGTTTAAAAGGTTGGTGTCTTTATCTTTTACCAAGATACAGTTTTGTTCAAATTTAATCTTCATTTTATCAGGTGGATGGTGTAAAGCTACTCTAAAAGGCAGTGTTCTGTGTCTTTTATGTGGTTTTATACCTGTTATATGGTTTAATCCAAGATCTTGTTTTTGGAATGCTTTTCTTTCATACTTGACGTGATATCAGATTGCAAAAACAACATATGTTCTTTCTGGTCATTAGTTCAAGACAGGTTGATGTGATGCTTACTGAGACAAAGAACAGTGTTGTTCTGTTCAATTATTTCTATCCTTGTGTACCCTGCTAGACTTTACAATCATGTCTTCATGTTTATTTCCCTTCTCTTTGCTTCCAAAGTGATAATTCATGAATAATAATTCATCCTAGCAATGTAAATGAATTTTTTATAACTTTGAATTTTTTTCTACCTCCTGATGGTTTTTAAAAGGTGTTCTTTCTGGTCCTAGGGATTTGTTGAATGTACAGTTCTGAACAGATGGTTTTCATGATTTGCTAGTGCATATCTTTTATGTGTGTTGGTTTAGAGCTTGGTGATGTGCGATGATAGGCTATGGATAAACAGAAATTTCCAGAATACAGATACAGGAGGTCTGGTTCTGAGCATACTTACAGCATATAATTAACATTGTAACCTTTGTGCATTCCTATATTGTGATTGCATGACCATTCTAGGGTGTTGTCAAAGCTTTCACAAAATTCTGTTTACTGTTCCTTCTCAATATAGTTATTAGGAAAGACAGTCCTAATAAATTTTTTAAATGAACTTGGAATAAATTAAAAATCTTTTGTGTTACCTGCTGCTATCCCAGCTAAAATGTCCTAGATAATGACTAGGCATGTAAAAAGATGCACACACCCTTCACATCTTTTCAGTAGTTAACTTTTCTCAAGAAACTCTAAAGAATGGACTTAAACTAATTTTCAGAATTTTGGGGATGAAGTGTGTCCTACAGTATCCAACCTTCAAGCTATACCTTCCATGTAAGAGTTGGTCCTTCAAATCTAAGTTATCTTGCCACTGCACTTTGTAATGTCTTCTTTTTTCTCTTCCTGTTCATCTTGACCTGCCCTACCCCAAAAAAAGGCAGTTTACTGTGTGAACTTACCAGGATTATTAAAATTCTTTCAGGTTGTATAAATGATCTTGTTGGGTAAATTGCTCACTGAAACAGTAAATTCTGCAACAAATCAACCGCTGTTGATAACTAGGAGGTAATGAATTAATATCCGTAGAATCATAGAATAGTTGGAGTTGGAAGGGACCTTTAAAAGTCATCTAGTACAACACCCCTGCAATGAATAGGGACGCCTTCAACTAGATCAGGTTGCTTGGAGTCCCGTCCAACCTCACCTTGAATGTTTCCAGGGATGGGGCATCTACCACTCCTCCGGGCAACCTGTTCCAGTGTTTTCACTACCCTCATTGTAAAAAATATCTTCTTTGTATCTAGTCTAAACCTACCCTTTTTTAGTTTAAAACCATTACCTCTTGTCCTGTTGCTACAGGCCTTACTAAAAAGTTTGTCCCCGTCTTTCTTCTGAGTCCTCTTTAAGTACTGGAAGCCCACAGTCAGGTCTCCCTGGAGCCTTCTCTTCTCCAGGCTGAACAACCCCAACTCTCTCAGCCTGTCCTCACAGGGTAGGTGTTCCATCCCTTGGATCATTTTTGTGGCCCTCCTCTGGACCTGCTCCATCAGGTCCATGTCTTTCCTGTGCTGGGGGCTCCAGAGCTGGATGCAGGCCTCCAGATGGGGTCTCACCAGAGTGGAGTAGAGGGGCAGAATCACCTCCGTTGCCCTGCTGGCCATGCTGCTTTTGATGCACCCCAGGATACGGCTGGCTTTCTGAGCTGTGACCGCACATTGCCGGATCATATCCAGCTTTTCATCCACCAGAACCCCTAAGTCCTTCTCTGCAGGGCTGCTCTAATTCCCCACACCCCCCAGCCTGTACTGATACCGGGGATTGCCCTGACCCAGGTGCAGGACCTTGCACTTGGCCTTGCTGATGTTGAACCTCATGAGATTCACACAGGCCCACTTCTTGAGCTCTTCTGGTTCCCTCTGGATGGTATCCTGTCCTTCTGGCACGTCAACTGCACCGCTCGACTTGGTGTTGTCTGCAAAATTCCCGGGGGTGGACTCGATCCCACTGTCGGTGTCACTGATGAAGGTATTAAACAGTTCTGGTCCCACGTCAACTGCACCGCTCGACTTGGTGTTGTCTGCAAAATTCCCGGGGGTGGACTCGATCCCACTGTCGGTGTCACTGATGAAGGTATTAAACAGTTCTGGTCCCAGTATGGACCCCTCAGGGACACCACTTGTCACCGATTTCCATCTGGACATTGAGCCATTGACCACTACCCTCTAGATGTGACCATCCAACCAATTCCTCATACCCTGAACAGTCATCCATCAAATCCATAGCTCTTTAAATTGGAGAGAAGGATGTTGTGGGGGGTCATGTGAAAGGGCTTACAGAAGTCCAGATAGGTGACATCTGTAACTCTTCGCTTGTCCACTGATCTAGTCACTCCATCGTACAATGCCACTAGATTGGTCAGGCAAGACTTCCCCTTGGTGAAGCCATGCTGACTGTCTCAACTCACCTCCCTGTCCTCCATGTGATTTAGCACAGCTTCTAGGAGGATCTGTTCCATGATCTTCCCAGGCACAGGTCAGGCTGACAAGTCAGTAGTTCCCAGGGTCCTCCTTTCTACCCTTTTTAAAAATGGGTGTAAGGTTTCCCTTCTTTCCAGTCACCAAGAACTTAACCTGACTGCCATGACTTTTAAAATATCATGGAGAGTGGCTTGGCAGCTACACCAGCTGGGATACATCTCGTCAGGTCCCATAGTCTTATGGATGTTCAGGTTCCTCAGGTGGTCATGAATTCTGATCTTCTCCTATAATGGGAGGGACTTTGCTTCCCCAGTCCCTGTTTTGTGGTCTGTGCACTTGAGAGGTATGGGCAGAGAGGTTGCTGGTGAAGACTGAGGCAAAAATGTTGAGTACCTCAGCCTTGTTAACAATCTATTGTTAACAATTTGCCAGTTGTGTTCATCGGAGGGGTACGCTTTCTTTGACCTTCCTTTTCTGGCTGGTGTACCTGTAGAAGCCCAAGCCCTTCTTAATGTTCTTTGTGTCACTTGCGAAGTTCAGCTCTAGCCATGTTTTGGCCTTCCTGACTCCATCCAGTGAGACACAAATGTGAATCCCAAACATCCAAGCAACTTGACTTCAGACATGAGTTCTCTATTTTGTGTAAAAAGAATTTGATTTGTTCTAGTATGTTATGTAAATCAATATTTGAGCATATGCTTAAGGATTGGAGTTTTTACTAGATCAGCATTGTTAAATATGATTGCATTAATTATTCTTCAATAGTTTGCCTTACCTGTCTCCTCATAGTGAAGCAATAGCAGTTGTAGGTGCTCTCAAAATGAATTTAAAAAATGATGCAATAAAAATGTATTTCTTTTAGACATATTATCTTCCATAGAACTGGGTGATATCACAGTTTGTTGCACTTTCTGAAAAGATCTGTATTTCAGGATTTTTCTAGATGGCATTCATCACCATAGTTAAGTAGACTTGTTGCATACTATCAAAACTGAAGTTCAACAACAGTTGTTGGCTGCAACAAAACTTCTGTTAAACAAAAGTTGAAAGTTTTTTTCCAAATGCATTTGCCAGCTTACTTTGTCAGTCAGGTTTCAGTCCTGAGATATTTAAGGCATTTAAAATTTGAAGATATTTTAAATTTCCTTTTAGGGTTACATAATCTGCAGATGGCTTAAACTGGTCTTCAGTGGACAATATTGAATTGAAGAACATGTCTCTGCTTCTGCACTGGTTCAGTGGGGATTGATCCTAAGGCACACTAGGGTTCATCAGTTAGAAGTGACTATTGTGGTGAATGAAATTGTCTTTTAGAGGATTTTAATTTGACGTGTTCATTTGAATAAAATTATCATTATGTCATCTATAGATTTGATGGACCTCGAGGAAGAGGATATGACAAATTTGAAGGCTCAAGACAGAGAGGACCTCGGTTTGACTTCCAGCGCTCAGAAGGATACAGGTCACGTTTTGACCGACAGAACACAGATGGTCAGTCTTCAAGTAGATGGGGTACTATCCCACGAGGACCAGCAGCACAATTTTATACTTCGACAAGTGCATCACATGGACATGGTTCCCGACCTAGTGGTCCACGGTGGAGGGGGCCCAGGCCTCATCTGGGGCAGCAGCAGCAGCATTCACAGATAGACTCACAGTCAGAAAACAAAGAAGCTTTCACAGATATAGCTGGCAATCAGCAGACTGTAAGCAGAACACAGCCTACTCCTGATGCACAGAGTGCACAACCCATTGAGCCAGATGAGGACCTGACAGACACTCAGCCGGAACCATCCAAACCTGAAGTCAAAGAAACTATTTCAGACCCTCCTAAAAAGTGGACATGGAGTTCACATGATCCTAACCAGCAAGTAGAAGAGTCCAAAGCACCTACTCCGCCTGTTCAGAACCAGAAATCAACATCCCTTTCTAGCAGCCCTGTAGCTTTGCAGTCAGGTATTGCAAGGACAGGCGGTGCAGTAACCCCTGTAACAGGCAATGAGGAGTTGGATTCCCCAGATAGCCAGTTGATCGCTTCAGATAGCACCCAGGGCCTACCTGGACCAGAAAGCAGAGGGAAAGGGCAATTTATGCATGAAGATAGAGGCAAGGGACCAGTAAGCAGAGGAAGGGGCCAGGGCAGACTGGATGATGGCCGCGGCAGAGGGCAGGGGGGTGGCCGTGGCTGGGGAATGGGCCGTGGCAGGGGGATGGGAAGGATGGATGGTGGCCGGGGAATGGGAAGGATGGATGGTGGTTGGGGAATGGGCAGGATGGACGATGGCCATGGCCGGGGAATGGGCAGGATGGACGACGGCCGTGGCCGTGGCATGGGCAGAATGGATGAAGGCCGTGGCCGAGGATATGTATACAGAGGCAGAGGGCAGGCTAGGCAGGCATCCATCCGTGGCAGGGGGATGTTCAGGAGAGCAGGTAGCAGGGAGAGGATGCCAGATAGGCGGTCAGGCAGCAGGGAGAGGATACCAGATGGACCGTCTGGCAGCCGAGAGAGGGGACTGGGCGGACGGTCAGATAGCCATGAGAGGATATTCTCTAGCCGAGACAGAGAGCTGCGGGCAGGTAGCTGTGAGAGGGGCCCAGTCAGGCAGGCAGGTAGCCGCGAGAGGGGTCCTATCAGGAGGGCAGGTAGCCGCGAGAGGGAAGCAGGAAGATCTGAAACAGGCAATGTGGATAAATCCATTCACCTAGGAGATGACTCTGACAAATTGCCTCCATACCATCGAGATGAGACACTCGGGGGTTCTTGGGGTCGTGAAGATGATAGAATGCAGGAGGAATTTCCTTTAGATAGTCAAGATGACCCTTCTTTGGAGCATGAGCGATTGGATGACTGGGAAAGAGAACGATACTGGAGAGATCACAACTCTGATTATCAGGATGATTCTGTAGATGCGTATGACAGAGATGACAGGTTGCAATCCCACCATTCATTGCCTCCATTGTCTCCCCTACCACCACTACCTCCTTTGTCATCTGATCATGACAGGCGAGATTCATGGTGGGATGACTGGAAAAGGCCAAGAGAGAGGGAACTAGAGAGAGATCTAGATAGGACTGGAAGATCCTCGGATATTTATGATCAAGATTTAGACAGAGAATGGGATAGAGACTGGGACATGAGACCTATGGATGATAGAGAAATGGGGAATCGTGACCTGGACATTCCCCCTCTACCACCATTACCACCTCTTCCACCTCTGGACAGATACCGTGAAGACAGGTGGAGGGAGGATAGGAGCAGAGATCATTATGACAGAGACCTCCGAGACAGAGGGGAGCTGAGGATTCGAGAGTATCCAGAGAGATATGACACATGGCGTGAGAAGCAAGACTACCTTCCTGAAAGGACTGATTGGGAGAGGGAACGGTTGTCAGATAGATGGTATCCAGATGATGGAGACAGACTGCGGTCTTTGGATGATCATCCAGATTCATCCCTTCCTCCACCTTCACATTCCTCTGATATGCTGGGAGCAGATTCAAACCTGGACTCTGACCAGTCCTTGGGAGGAGTGATGGTCCTTAGTCAAAGGCAGCATGAGATAATTCTGAAGGCTGCCCAGGAGCTCAAAATGCTTCGGTGAGTTGCCTGGTTCTGTCACTTTTGGATGGGAGAGAAATTACTAGGTAGGCTTATTGGATTTTTTTCTTTATCCATTGCGGTAGTTACTGCATTTTTTTTTTCCTAGAATGATGAACTTCTGAGCTGGTGCACTTCACTGGTGCAGAAGACATCAATTTCCTTTCAGACATATTTGTGATAAATGTTTGTTATGATGCATTAGTATGTTGTGATGTGTTGACTCTTGTATTTCTGACCTGTCTTCCCCTTTCCTTCCAACACAGATTAGATATTCTGGGTTTGACCAGGAGTAGCTAAATTTTGACATCCCAAGCTTTCCTTGCGATTATGAATCACCCTTCAGTTTCAGCTGTTAAAGTGACAAGTCAGTTGTATTATATCTTTAAACAGTCATATGGGCAATTTGGATGTGAATGAAGTTTTCAAAACCTTGATCAAGAATGGGTTGAGATTCAGAGCATTTCTTCTGGATTATTGACTCCCTCCTCTCTGCATGCCTTTCTCATAGCACAAAGTATACATTTAGAAGTATTCTGTCACTTTATTATATTTCACATATAAGTAGTAGTGATTTTAAAAGTAATTTGCTATAAGGTATTTTGATTTTATATCAAAAGTTTTTGTTGAGACTATGACTTTTGATATGACACTAGGATCACACTTTATTAGTAGAATGAAGGACTGGAGTCAAACAAGTCACTTGTATTTGTGGTGGAAGGCTGCTTAGTCTGTTTCAAGTTCCAGGAGTTCGTTGTATCTCACTTACTCAGATACTTTTTCAAGCCTGAAAATAATGTTCACAGTCTTTTTGGAGGGAAAAATTGTTCTGATGTACTTTTGCAAAAGTACAGACCTTAGCAAGCTTTTGGAACCTCCTTTTTGGAGATGTATTCAGTAATGGAGTTGCAAGACAGGTGCCATAAGATTTTTTTTTTTTTCATGGTGGTGCTTATGCTTTTGCTCCTGAAGTATGTTCTGTTTCCCCCTGAGACTGTGCCACAGAATATTTAAAGTATAGCTATCAGAATAGTGCGGTGCTTCTGTGGAGATAGTGCTCCTTTCCTAATTCATTCCTTGATTTATGCAGTAATGGCTTTGTTACTTTTCGCCACAGCATGAGAGTAGGAGCTCATGTGGAACAACTTATTTGGAGTACCTCGATCACAGCTTTTGTAGATGGACTTTTTTTCTTAAATACATGGTTGTCCCTTTCCCCATGAATATGACATTCCGTGTTTGTTACTTTCCAGGAAGAGATCTGTCCACGTCACCTGGACAATCTTTTTGTTATCCTCAGATGAGGTTGTTGATGATTGCTTTTCAATCTTTTAGTGTCGGATGAGTTTGTTGATAGTTGCTTCTTAATACTTACCTGTCAAGTTCTACATTAATGTGGTTCTTAATTCACACAATGGGACCTATTTAATGGGACTTACTTTTTCATTAAAGCATATGTGTTTTTTTTTATTTTTACAATGCTCCCCCAGTTGAAATCCATCATCGTCAGTGAATAATTTTGTCAAGTTTGGCTGATCTTAGTTCTGACAATCAGCATAACAGCAGTGATAACAATCAGGAGGATAAGAATGGAAGAGTTCACCAAGACCACATTTTAGAAAGCAGCTATGAAACTCCCTAAGGCTTTAATAGGTGTTTGTTTCAAAATAGGTAAAAGAAACTCCTCTTAAACATCAGAAATGTCCTAAGGCTCAGTAAATTTAGTAATGTAAGAATGAATAGAGCACATACCATCTATCCAAATGTTTTTCTTATGAGTTGGTGTGTGGGTTTAGGTGCATTGAATGTATTTAAAAAAAAAAACAACAACAACAACAAAAAACCCAGAAATATTAGTTTCTTTTACAGTTTTCAGAGAGTGAGATCTTTCTGTAAAGAGGAGGCATCTTAGAGACAGAGGTTCATGTGGTTCGTCCTATTGACAAATTACTGAGAGACAGCTGAGAATTGGTACCTAGTAAAGACGGGGTTTGAATTTCATAAACAAGATATTATGCTAAAATAATGGGCAATTGAAATTAATGTTTGGTTATCGTTATTACATTTATGTTAAATAGTGTTGAAAGATACAGAGACATTTTACACTTTTCTTGCAGCTGTCTTGTATTCAGATTCGTAAGATTACTAAGCATGTGTCCCATATGGAAGGCCTTAGTTGCATGCCAAAATGCAAGAAAAATAATTTTTAAAAGGGAAGGGAGTACTTTTATTCTGAAGAAGTTAATTTTTCACTGCAATTAGATGAATTCAACAGGTGTTAGTAACTGTGAAATCTGTGTTATAAAGCAAGACTTTCCAGAAGTTTTGGAGCAACAGATCCTTTTCAGCTTCATGACTTTCTTGTTGCCTCAGGTTGCCAGGCATATGCTTTGCTATTTACTCTGACTAGCTGCAAGCTGGGGGACTTAATCTAAGGAACATAGTTTGGGAATTGCTGACTAAGTGAATAATTTATTAGGGCTGAAATATTTAGACATAGAAACTAACATGTTTTATGTGAGAAAGTACGTACATATATCTCTTTTGAAGCCAGTAAAAAGGGGAAATGAAAACATGATACTGCTGATACTGATTTTTAATTTAATGTGAGGTTATTCTTAAAATCAATTACACTAGTACTTCTCATCAGGTTCTTATAAGCATGTGACTCCCATCTGAACACTAGGAACAACTTTAAGGAGACTGCTTATGATTTTTTTGGAGCCAAGAGTTATGCTAGTAGTGTAGTGTGTAACTGCTTTCATCTCCAAAGGTAAAGCCTACATCTGACTTTGCTTTTATTGTGTATAAAACAGCATACTCTGAGCTGTGTGCTGTTCTGTATTTGTCATCTGGTGTATTTTTCCTAAGCCAGGTGTAAAGACGACATTTTAAGTGCTAGTAGTTGCTCAATTTACTCCTTGTACCAAAGATCCCTTTCTGTGAGCAAAGTTCCCCTTGCACTGGACACTGAACAGAGTTGTTCTTTGGGCACTACTTTAATACACGTAATTAATATGAACAAAGAGTTATTAGTATATACTAGTTTCAGCTGGGATGGAGTTAATTTTTTTCTCAGTAGCTGCTGCGTCTTGGACTTCGTGCGAGAAGAATGTTGATAACACTGATAGTTGTTGCTGTGAAACTAAGGACTTTGTCCAGTTTCTCACATTCAGCTAATGAGTAGGCACGCAGGAGCTGGGAGGGAGCACAGCAAGACAGATAGCCAAGCTGGCCAATGGAAATATTGCATACCATAGACATCATGCTGAGTTTATGAAAGGTGGCTGGCTGGGGGGCAGGGATCTTCCTTTCTCGTTTCCGTGAGTTCAGATCCTCTCTTGTCCATGAGTTCGAACTTCTTTGGGAAGTTAGGGAAATTCACAGTTTCTGGGTTTCCACAATTGCTGCTCAGGAACTGGCTGTGAATCAGTTGTCAGGTGGTGGGAAGAATTATATTGTATATAGTTTGCTTGCCATATTCATTAATAGTAGTAGTATTAGTATTTACTTCGTTGTCTTATTAAACTGTCTTTATCTCAACCCAGAAGTTTCCCCTTTTGTCCATTTCTCCTCCCCATCCCACTGTGGGGGAAGGCGAGGGGGCGAGTGAGTGGCTGTATAGGGCATAGTTGCCAGCTTCCAGGTTAAACTAGTCCTGTTTGGCACCCAACATGGGGCTTTGAGGGTTGAAGTAATGGCAGATCTGACCAGAGCATATTAAAGGATTTATATCTGATAACAGTTTCAGGTCACAATATTGATTCATTGTGCTCTCATTTTTGCTGTGCGTGTCAAAGATTGGTTTTGGCTTTTGCAAGTTCCTGTGCTCTGCAATGACTAGTAATGTGGTGTCTGCAGGATTTGTTACCAGAGCACTGACCTTGGCCATAATCTGGTATTTGTGCTTTGCACTGAATCTGTTACCGATACTCAGGTACCACCTGGTGGAGATAATTAGCAGTTATACTTTTTCTTCTGAGAGGTTTTTTATGGAGGAAGTGCAGAATGGCACCTTCACTACCCTCTTCCATGATATTTTGTCCCCCATTAGAATAACTGTTTTAGTACCTTGAACATCCTTGGGTAGTTAAAATACTTCTGTTGGTATTTCTTGCAAATAGTGTTTTTGTTTTGTCTTTGAGTACCAAGGATGGGGTAACCCATGCATGCAACACGAACCCGTTCCTTGATAATAACTACTATGGCCAGAACTGGAGGAGCCCTGTCTCCAGCCAGGTGAAGGAAAAGGGCAACCAGGTTTACTGGACTGTGTGGATTTGATGGCCTGGCACATCAGCCCCCCAGGAGTATAAAGCTCTGGTAGACACTGATACACAGTGTACCCTAATGTCATCAAGCTATAAAGGGGCAGAACCCATTTCTATTTCTGGAGTGACAAGGAGATCCCAACAGCTAACTGTGTTCGAGGCTAAAATAAGACTAAGTGGGAATGACCATTGTGACTGGCCCTGAGGCTCCGTGCATCCTTGGCATAGACTATCTCAGGAGAGGGTATTTCAAGGACCCAGAAGGGTACCGGTGGGCATTTGGTATAGCTGCTGTGCAGACAGAGGAAATTGAACAGCTGTCCACCTTGCCTGGTCTCATGGAGGACCCTTCTGTTGTGAGGTTGCTGAGGATCAAAGAACAACAGGTGCCAGTCGCTACCACAGCAGTGCACGGGCAGCAGTATCGCACCAACCAGGACTTCCTGATCCCTACTCATAAGCTGACTCGTCAACTGGAGAGCCAAGGAGTGATCAGCAGGGCTCGCTCACCCTTTAACGGTCCCATGTGACCAGTGCGAAAGTCCAATGGAGAGTGGAGACTGACAGTAGACTATTGTAGCCTGAATAACGTCACCACACCACGGAGCATTGCCGTGCTGGCCATGCTAGAACTTCATGAACTGGAGTCTAAGGCAGCTAAGTGGTATGCCACCATTGATATTGCTGATGCGTTCTTCTCAATCCCTTTGGCAGCAGAGTGCAGGCCACAGTTTGCTTTCACCTGGAGGGGCGTCCAGTACACCTGGAATCGACTGCCCCAGGGGTGGAAACACAGTCCCACCATTTGCCATGGACTGATCCAGACTGCACTGGAACAGGATGCAGCTCCAGAACATTCACAGGCTAATGTCCTGATTTCGACTGGGATGGAGTTAATTTTCTTCTCAGTAGCTGCTGTGTTTTGGATTTTGTAGAAGAAGAATGTTGATAACACTGATGGTTTTAGTTGTTGCTATGAAATCAAGGACTTTGTCCAGTTTCTCACATTCAGCTAATGAGCAGGAGCTGGGAGGGAGCACAGCCAGATAGATAGCCCAAGCTGGCTGATGGAAATATTCCATACCATAGACATCATGCTGAGTTTATGAAAGGGAGTTGGCTGGGGGGCAGGGATCTTTCTTTCTCTTTTCCGGGAGTTTGGTCTTTTTCAGGAGTTTTGTGAAATTCACAAAAATCTGTGAATTCGGGGTTGCGCAATCGCTGCTTGGGGAACTGACTATGAATCAGTCATTGAGTGGTGAGAGATGTATTGTATATAGTCTGGTTTGCATATTCATTGTTAGTAGTAGTAGTAGTATTTCCTTTGTTGTCTTACTAAACTGTTTTTATCTCAGCCCGTGAGTTTCCCCTTTTGTCCATTTCTCCTCCCCATCCCACTGGGGGGAAAGAGAGTGGTGAGCAAGCGGCTATCAGACCCTAGTTGTCAGCTGCTGGGTTAAACCTCAACATAGCAGTAAAAGAAAATAACTAGATAAAAAGATGCAAACGAAAACTGAAGGGAAATCATATTGAGTAGATAGATCTTCGTAATCCAGTGGCTGCAGTATTCACTGCTGGTCCTGGTCTCTACTCCATATAGTAAAACAAGAAAACAGAAGCTAACTTGCCGCTTTGTTTTTAAATGTGGGAGTCTCTGTTGTGCTTTGTGTTGGCCACAGTCCTGCCAGTGTGCAACCCAGAGCAAGTCACTGAGAGCGCCTAGGCATGCGTCTCCACTGGGCTTCTGGTTTACAGAAGGAGTTGTCAGAAGCTGAAGTCTAGCTTTGCTCTTTACTGTCAAAGTGGAGTGGTTCTGCCCAAGCACAAAAGCATAACTGCATGTTGCAGAGGAAATTTGTCATCAGAAAAGGAGGCAGCTAATATATTAAATACCTCTATGGGTAGGTGGATGTGAAACAGGGATTTCTGAGTCGGCACTGACTGTGTAAAGCCTGCTGTGTCCTTTTCTTCTTTGGACTTGGCCTCTGGTGCTAGTGTAATACATGGTTTTCACTGTAAGCGCTGATTTCTTTAATTTTTCATTTAAGCTACAGACTGATAACATTTTCTTGTGATTCATGTGCAGAGAGCAAAAAGAACAGCTACAGAAGCTGAAAGAGTTTAAACCTGACCTTTCCACACAGGACTCTCCTAGATCACAGAACACAAGCACAAGGCCGGGTGCCTTCCAGGTAAAGTCATCTTGTGTTAATAACGTGCTGGTAGCAATTACTATTAATGTGTATGTCAGATCAGTTCTGCGGTGTGATGCTCAAACTTCTCTGTGGAATGCCTCCCCAGCAGCCCTTACAACCTCATCAATCTTCTGTTGAGGCAACGCAACATCTTAGTTTCTTTAGATTTTACAAAGCCTTTTCTACTCATTCAGTCTGCTGTGTCTTCTGAGCATAACCCACTGGTGACAATAGCATATGAGGATCAACAGCCTAGACTGCTGTGGGATGATGTGCAGGAAGAGGTGAGCTCTTCCAAAACAGGTGCATAAGGCCCATGAGAAGCCTCTCCTGTTCCTTGCCTAAGTTCTGACATCTTGCTCTGCTTTTCTTACTTTAAGAGCTCTGTCCTCTTTGAAGTTAGAGAATCTTGAGGGTAGGTCCATCAGAAACTGAGAAATTTTGGTGCAGAATGGGCATTAGCTTTCTGTTTGCTGTCTTTGTTAGGAATTCTCATTACTCCCTGGAATATCATAAAGTTCATGGAAGCTCACATTTGTGTACCTCCATGACTTCATCTCCCGTTGTGATGCAGGTTGTTCCTCTGCTGCTTAATCTCCTGATTGGTTCTGGGAATTCTTCTCAGCTGCTTATATTTGTTTTTTTTAAAATTCATACCTGGTCAGAAACCAACTAACTTCTTCAGTCATGTTAACTCCAGTTTATAAATCCTTCCTAGAATGAATAAACAATTTTATTGAATGTATATTGGAGGAGATACGTGAGTTGATGCACAGTCTTTATTCTTCATCACATCTGAACCCCAAAGTTACTGGTAGCAATAAATTTAGCTGTTCTGGCCTGTGGGTCTGACATTAGCCAGACCAAGCTTTGTTTGTCCCTCTCTCCAGAGAAGTGTTATGCAGTGAATGAGGCGCTGCAAGTTTTCTTTTTGCCTAGTTGACGTCTTCCTTATTTACAGTGTCTATAAAATCAAATAACAGAACAGATTTGCTACCAAGAACTGCAGGTATGTTGATGCCTTTAGGAGGTTAGTTTACTCAGCTTTGATATTTTCTATCTCGGACTACTTCACCTATCTGTCTAGAGGTATTCAGACAACTGTTGTCTTTCTTAGGGTTTCTGCCTTCAGACTTCCGCTGTGACTTTGAACTGTTATTACAAAGTTCAGCTTTGTATTTACAACCATTCTGCAAATTTTGTTGCATGTTGCTACTAAGGCTGCCTGAAACTTGACATCTGCTGTGATGCTGAAAAGACTCTCGTGACATAGCACGTGGGGTTCCATGGGGATGTCTAGTTCATGAAGGGGTGTTGTTTTGATGGGTTTTTTTTCCACTGGGCAAGACCTCCCCATTTCTTATGATGATCTGATATTGATTTCATTAAGGGGTTTCCAGGTGATTCTGCTCTCTGGGAATGTTTCCAATGACTTCCAGAAAGAAGCTGGCCTTATCAATCATTTTGTGCGTCATCAAACTGCCCTACTTTCAGACTTTTTCATCTTCCTCACAGACAGCAGGAATCTTTACAGACAGCAGGAGTCTTTGGGAATAAAACCGTAGACACTTTTGAACTGAGATAGGCCTACTGGAGCTTAAATTGGTAAGGTTATTTTGAAGGAGAAAATAAATAGTATTTAAGCATCCAAGTAGTGAACAAACACCAAATTAATTCAGGCCACCAGTTCTTGAAATACTGTCCTCCTACATGTAGCACCTTGATGGAGGGTACTAGAAAGTGCTTATGATTTGGTTACCAGTTGCCACTGTGCTTACTGACTTACAGAGGATGAGAGAGGGTTAGTTTACAGTTCTACATTAAAAGTGCTTTCTGCATCTAGGTCTCTTCTCAGCTATCTTCAGTGGCACCAGTAGAAGCCCAAGCTATTAAAGCTTCTCCTGCTGTTATTATAAAGCCTCCCGTGTTGTTCAGACAGCCTACCCCTGTGACAAGACCAAGTGCCCCACTGACAAGGCCTACTACACCTATGACAAGGCCACATGCTCCAGTTTCTACTCCAACTACAACCCCAAGTCATGGTCAGTCTTTAAAACCATCACCTTCTGCTGTGGAACAGGAACGCTGGGATGAGGATTCTTTCCACGGACTCTGGGACACAAATGAGGATAAAGGAGCAAATATGGAGTACGAGTTGTGTAAATCGGAGTCAATGATGCCTCCACCCATCTCCTCGCCTGTGAAAGTACCTGCCATTCACACCTCTGTTCCATCAGCTGTACCAGTGTCCCTCCCTCCAGTTATTCCACCAGTTCCTAAAGCACCTGTAATTCAGCAAACTGTGGATTATGGCCATGGGCGAGGTAGGTATCACAGTGTATTTGTTTGATCTGTAACAGATTGCTAATTAGTCCTCCTAGCTTCTTTCTAAAGGAGTGTGCCACACAGCATGCCGTAGATGTTCTGCAGCTGACCTGTAGGCTGCATACATTGCAATCTAATTCTAAGCAATGTAGTTTTAAGGAGTCTGTAACCTCCAGCCTTGACTTTAATGTTTTCCGCAGTGCTGTGATAATGAGCTATTTCATGTGAACTGAATGGTGTATAGCCACGTCTGTTTCTAATAAACATGAAATGATGTGATCACATCGATGTGTTATATTTAGATTGATATTGATACTTTCCCTTAATCCCTTTGTAGCTGAGTGTGAAAATAACTGTGCTAGAAAGTACTTGGGATTGTTAGAGTACTTAGGTGTCGCTCAGTAACTTAAAGCAGAATGTGACTGGTGTTTGCGTTATTTATATACTGCTTATTGAGTGTGAGAGACCCTCTAGACAGAGAGAGAGACAGAGTCCTAGTTCTGAAGGACATATGCCGTAAACAGGCATTTAACACAAACAGTGAAGGGCTCTGATTTTTAGTACTGAGCTTATCAAAGATAAAATAAGCACTGGTTTTTTAATAAGATTCATTTCCCTCATTCTTAGTTTTTGACAGGAGTGAAATCATGTCATAAAGAAGTTTTTTAATTGTGCATTGTTGTTTAAAGAGCATTTTTTTCCTCTCTGAGGTGCCATAATGTGAATTGAAGCCATATCAATTCCATTAAGTAGATGTTTTACTGAAAGCTGAAAAAGTGTCACTGTTAGGCATCTAAAGTGAGAGTTTCAGTTAATATTCTTGACATTATGGTAGTTCCATGAGTAACTGAAACTTTCAGAGCGTTTTAAATATTTATAATCTTCTGACCATGCGTGCTACCCGAACTCATCTGAAAAGGCAGAAGTCCCATGCTTAAGATAAAGTGGTACGCATACTTACACATACATGCAAACGCACTTCAGACTTTCAAAACCATGGTGTTGTGTATTTATGCATAGGTTTTTTTGCATTATCCGTAAAAAGAAATTTTGGTAAGTTATTCCAGTCACTGTTAATGGCATTGACTAATTGCTTTTCATGACAGAGGAAAGGAAATGGAGGAGACATATTTTAAGACCTTAATTATTTTTTTATTATTTTCAACCAGACATAACCACCAGTAAAGTGGAACAGATTCCATATGGAGAGAGGGTAACCCTGCGTCCGGAACCTCTACCAGAGAGGCAAACATTTCAAAAAGGTAGGGAGGGCTTGGCTAGCTCTCAGACAGTTAGTTAGCTCTTAAGAATAAGTTGTAAGGCACTAAAAGTGTATTTAAAACTAAGTAACTCTTGTTTAAGCTAGAACCATTTAATTCAGAGGCCTGTAAGATTAACAGTTTGTATTGTCAAGAAGAGTAATGCAGTCAGTGACCTAGCCACTTCAAAAATTCGCTTTTGTAGCTTTAAGTAGGATTTCATGATATGATTGTCTGTTACAGTTTGGAAAAGAGATTCAGTGGCTGCTTAAATCCATTCTAGCCCTGACATCATATGTTTCCATCTACTTTTCTTGCATTCTTGTGTGTTGGTTTTCCTTCAGAAATAATAAAAACTTCAGAGTGTGTTTTAGTAGTTTGGATTTCCATTGGTTTCTCTTTTCAGAACACCCTGGTCGTTACAACAGAGAAAGAGATCGTGAGCCTTATTTTGAGCGTCAAGGTAATTCCAACACAGATCATCGGGATTTCAAGAGAGAGCGGGAATTACACAGAGACCGTAGTTCTGTGGACTATGAACGAGAGAGATTTGAAAAAGAGCGGCATCCCCGAGATGATAGGTACGTGGTTTCAGAACGCTATTGAAATCAATACAATTCAGGCTGTATTGGGTATCAGGCTGTCCATTTTACCTGTGAGGTACATGTTCATTTCTCTCTGGAATACCTAGTAGAAATTCTAGAAATACGCTAAATACTCTTTTGGCAGGGTTCTTCCTACTACACCTTCAAGGACTCAGTCTTACCGTGACAAGAAAGACCATCCCTCCTCCAGGCGGGGTGGTTTTGAAAGATCACCATATGAGCGAAAGACAGATCGTCCAGCATATGATCATGGGCCTTCCATGTTTGGAGGTACAGTTTCTCAATCCTGAAGCCATGCTAGAATATTATGAAAAATATGGACGCGCAAAGGTGAAGATTAATTGGAAGAAGATTCATTGATTTGCAGTGTTTCTTTGTTCAGAATATGCATTTCAGGAAAGTTTATTTGGATGGTGTCATGTAGTTTTGTTTCTCAGTGGTAATAAGATCAGGAACGCAACAGTTATGCTCTGCTAAAAATGTCTTTGATTGCAATAGGTTCAAGATTAGAAATTTTAATTATTTTGGGGTCAAATCTGTGAATTTATCCTAAAATAATGAAGGTCTGTTTAAATCAGCTCAGCTAAGTGTGAACGTCTTAATTTTTTTATTTTACTGAACTAAGAAAATTCTTCTGTCCAAACACTGGAATTTGAAGGTGATCGTAGAAATTACTCTGAGGAAAGGATTCCTATTTCTGCTCCATCAATGCCCCGTCAGCCACCACCTGCTCCACGAGTGGAACGGAAGCCAGAATCTAAAAATGTAGATGATATTTTGAAGCCACCAGGACGGGATAGCAGGCCGGAGAGGGTGAGTATGCACTCTGAAAGCAACAGTTGGTTTCTGCAAGGTCTGTATTCAGATAAAATGCTCGTGAGTGTAGTATGTTGGGAACAAGCCTACATCTGAGGAAGCTCTGGAAATCCTCATGATTCCTTTGCAAATGCCTAGAGTGTTGTAACATGGCTATTAGGAGCCCACAGGAGATGTAAACTTCCTGGCAATGCTAAGATGAAATTCCTATTAGTAGGTAGTGTTAATGTATTTTAGACTCTTCTGAGATCTTCACTTGGGTTTTTGATGTATCAGAGGAAAGACTTGGCTATACACAGACTCAGAGATGTGTCAATGCACCACGTAAAATAAGAAAGAACAAGATTCAGGCTATAAAACATTTAGACAAATTTCATTTGGTTAATTTTATCTGAACCAGATCTATAATATCTTATGCAGTATAAGCTGCTAAGATGATTAATGTCCTAATACTCTTATTCTGTGGAACTACTACCATTCATCACAACTTGGTTTGTAAAATAGGCAGTGAGGCATGGTACTGGCTTTGCTTGATGATATGCAAAAGTGTGAGCCCAGAGCATGTAATTCTCTAGAAGAAAATTTTTGCCACAGAGATTCTCTTAAATGTAGTACTGTGTCTTATCTTCTTACACAATCTTTGTTTCAGATTGTAATTATAATGAGAGGGTTGCCTGGCAGTGGAAAGACACATGTAGCAAAACTCATCAGGGTACGTAAACAATTGCTCACTGTGTAGTGCTGCTTGTCTTTTACATGTGCTTCCTCTCATGTTTTCTTTCTGTTTGTCTGGGATTTCAGCCTGTTATTTCATGTTCCGTGTCTTCATATGGCATGTGAATCCCCTCCACTATTAGCAAGCATGAGGGATAGTGCTCTCTTCTCATTTTGAATATAGAGCAGGGAACTGCTGTTTGCCAAAAGAGTTTTGAAGAGCCTCTGTAGCAAAATAGAATTTTTGCAGCAGAAGTATATGTTTTGTTTTTGCTTTCTTGCCAGGATAAGGAAGTAGAGTGTGGAGGACCTGCACCAAGAGTGCTCAGCCTGGATGACTATTTTATCACAGAAGTGGAAAAAGAAGAGAGAGACCCAGATACAGGGAAAAAAGTGAAAAAGAAGGTACTTTTAACTCAGTTGCTTGTCTTGACAAAGAACAAGACATTCTGGAACAGCACAGTGTCAATCAGAATTTCAGTCTGTGGCTTTGGAAGAGTGCAGAGGTCTGTGGGCTGTTTTTCCACACAAGTCAATATGACTTAAGGGCAGAATGGACAAATTGTTAAAAATTGACCTGGAAGATGTTTTTCTCATGCCAGTTTACTTCATGGTCATGACATGCAGCAGTTGAATATTAGAAGTTTAATAGGTGCCGTCTTGCTTAAATGCTTTTGTCCTTGATAAAGGTGATGGAGTATGAATATGAAGCTGAGATGGAAGAGACCTACCGTACCAGCATGTTTAAAACTTTCAAAAAGACCTTGGATGATGGCTTCTTCCCCTTCATTATCCTTGATGCTATCAATGATAGAGTGCGACATTTTGAACAGTTTTGGAGTGCTGCAAAAACCAAAGGTTTTGAGGTAATGGAGCCTAAAAAGCATCTGAACTTAGTAGCACCTGTATGCTGGTATTTCTGAACTTTTGAATGCAAACTCCCTCTCACATTCAGGAAAAATGCTGTGGTCTGCAGTTACAAATTTACCTTTCTTAGAATGTATGACTGCAGAGTGTATCACTAACTAGAAAAAGAGCTCTATAAATGGATCAACAATATTGTCTTTCTCTTTCTAGGTGTACTTAGCTGAAATGAGTGCAGATAACCAGACATGTTCCAAGAGGAATATTCATGGACGCAAGCTAAAGGAAATCAGCAGGGTAACTGTATACATCTGGAGTCATAGGATTAATTATGGGTTTCATTGTGCTTTCAACCCTGCTGTTGTTGGAAAACTATTGACCTCTTTTAGACTACTTAATGCTTACACTTTTCCTCGAAGAAGAGCTAGTAGTTATTTCATGGGATTGATTGAAATTGCTTAAGTACAGATACATCTTGTTCATGGTCAGAAACCCAATTTTCCATCGAATCTGTTGAATCCATTTTTAGAGGTGCTTCATTTTTGTTTGATTTTTTTGTTAGATGTCTGATCACTGGGAGGCAGCACCACGTCACATGATGCGCCTGGACATTCGTTCTCTATTGCAGGATGCTGCTATCGAAGAGGTGAGAATCTCTGTGCTTGTTAAAATTACACATTACATAGATGTCACTATACTGAAAATACAAAGCAGAGAAAGCTATGATCACAACAGGGCAGTTGTACTTGGTACTGTAGAAAGCCAGAATCGCGGTGTCAGACAAGTATATTCCATTATTCTTATCTCACCCAAACATGAAGGTACGTGTTAATTTTTATCACCTTTTTGGAGCCCAGACTTATGCATCTTTGAGGAAGAGTTGAAGCCACTTTGCCTCTAGCAACTGTGGAGTACCAGTTGAAGAGGATCTTTGCTCTCTCTGATGAAACTCAGCACCTTTTCAGGTTACTGGATTAGCTGGATTCTAATTTGAGAAAGTAGTTTGATAAAATAAGCAAATAAACAAATTTGAAGTCCTCTCAGTGTCTGCTTTGAGAAATACAGACCTGTAGCAGAGAATTAAGAAATAAATAACATGTAGCAGAAGATTACACTTGCTGTAGAAGTATGCTACCTTTTTATTCCATCTGCAGTCTGCTGTGACGTGCATCTTTGGTGTGTCAGCTTTCTGTATGGTTGCATTCCTCTTTGGCAGATGTTTCAGGAGGTCTGGGAATAAATTAGTATGTTAATTGTGTGTGTGGTTATCGTGAATGTACCATAGCTGCATGTTGCTGTCAGAACAGTTCTTGCCATGGCCATAGAAACTGGTGAACTGCTGAAGTAGAAAGAGTTTATTCTTTGCAGTTTGTCATGAGGTCAGCAGGTAATTTTTGAATCTACAAGTTCTTTGTATCGGACAATAGTAATCTTCAAGAGGACAGCAAAGGCTCAGCTATCAAGTAGACTCAGGCAAGGGCAGATTTGGGATTTACTCTGTGTGCATCAAGGTTTTATTAATGGTATGATGAACTGTACCTACTTGGAGAGTTTTAGGTATTCCACAGTATACACATGAATCCCCATTAGAGCTGTGGACCCCAGAAAGTATTCCATTAGATGGGCAGGATTAGGTGATGTCTTAAAGCATCCATTTTCTTTATTATGTTAATTTCTGTGGTTATTATTCTCACTGTGATATTTAAATATATAAAAGATAAAGGCTTGATAGAGATGTTCTGTGCAGAGGGACCCATTGCAGTGATGTGTAAAAGGCAAATTTAAGATCTTTTTCTGAGATTTCAAGTTTTGAAATGTGATTGTGTGGGAAGTAAGGGAAGTGTCTAACTGTTACAGATACTGGTAGCACAAAGAATGCATGTGAAGGAAGAGAATAAACGATTGCTGCTTTCCCACACAGTTTATCACTCAGTAGCTAGGAGGGAACCTCCTTCTGAGGGAAGCCAAAATGGAGGCAGTATTCATATATATTGCATCATCATACTCTCCAAGATTAATCCTTTCTTTCCCATTCTATTTGGACTTGGAATCTTCTACTTACTCTGCTAAAAAGATAATACTTAGAAGTCAGGCAGTGCCTTGTAAGTCTGTGCTTGTGCTTTGGAACAGGTGGAGATGGAAGATTTTGATGCAAATATTGAAGACCAGAAAGAAGAAGTCAAGAAGGATACGACAGAGGAGGAAGAAAGTGAACTGGTAGGAGACACATCAGCCATCTCTAACAAAATGTTTTTTCATGTGTCTGAGGGAGAATCTCAGTCTTATAAATGCCAACCCATTGCCATTCTTAGCAGCGCGATCTTAATACACATATTTCTAGTTGTTTGTTCCTTAAACATTTCTAGGAGAACTTTAATATTAAAGCATACTATTCCTAACTGAATTTTTTTAAGGGTCTGTGAGTATATGCCACAAGCAGCAGTATCAGTGAAGCATGGCAACATGCCTCTTACAGACATTTATGAATTGCAGTACACTGTAGCACTGTCTTCCAGATTATCTAAGAATTACGCAAAGTGGAGGGATGGGAGAATGAGCAAAGTTGATTTTAGCTTATTTCCTTTCACATGTCTAAAGAACTCTTCTTGACTGTCACAGTATATGACAACAGTTATGAAGAAGAATGCTTTCTCTGCCAAGGCTCACTGACTTTGTCAGTAGGTATTTCCAAGGTGAGGGATTAGGTCTCTTGGATAAATGAAGGTTAGAGGGGCTGGTGGTTTTAGGTATGTATTTAAAAGGCTACGGAAGGCTTCCTAATGTAACTTCTTGGTGTGTGTTGGAGCTACAGCTGATCAGTGCTTGATGAGTTGAATGTGTCAAACCCTGGTTCCCACAACCAAGCAGTTAAAGTCCAATAAACAGGAAGTTACCAAAAATGTCTGAGATGAGCAAAGTCCTTTTTCTTGATGGAAATTTATTCTTCCTCAAGAGTGGCAGTTTAGAAGGCAGTTGAAATACAGAATAAAGAGATACAAAGCTTAGGAAGGGTGGATTTTAATAAACATCTGTTTTTTGCAACATGACTCATTTATTCTCTTTACTAAATTACTCTTTGGCACAGAGTATGGGGCTGAATAAAGTGTGGTTAGAACATTTCAAAGATGCATCCATGTTTACAAGAATATGGCTGCTAGTCTCATTTCTTGGAAATAAGCTATATCTAGAAGAGAAAGTTGTCTTTAGTTTTTGAGACGTCTGTGGATACGTGTGTGTGTATGTGTGTTTGTGGTCTCTGGGGAGTATCTTAATGTACAAGCACATATAACAATAAGCCTTTTCTTTATGAGACAAGAAGAAAGCTTGGTGGTGAAAACTGCAAATTATTAATAACTAAAAGTAATCCACATGCAAGAATGTTTTCTGTTCAGATTCACAAGAGATGAAAAATAGCAAAGAATTATCTGCTGTATGTAATCTCTGCTATTCAGTCACATGGCTAATCTCAGAGAGAGGTATGTCAGACAGAAGGGTGGAACAGTACACTGTATTTGGTATCTGTTGCCTTCTTGAGAGCAGTTGGTAAGGGTTCTTTCATTCATTTTCCTGCATTTATCCTGAGGAAAAAGAGAAGTCTGAAGCTTCTGCCATCTGGCAGATGTCCTTGAAATATCCAACTGTCTTGTACCAAAGGATGAAGTCTGAATCTTTTCTTATCCTATCTGAGAATGGGGATATTGTACAGATTCAGCACACAATAGGCCATTTCAAACCATCAAAGTCACTCTTTTGTTGATATTATCAACTCCCGTTGTAGCATTCAGACAATTCTTGCTTTTCTGTGCTTGATGGTATGAATTATTGATGCATTTAACTTAGTGTTCTCACCAGTGTATCACACATCACTTTGTTCAATACAGGCTTCTAGCTGTGGTGTAAGCTTTCTGAGCAAATTTTAATGTGCAACTTGGTTTAAAAGTATAAATATACATATATACATGACGTTTATTGCTACAAGGACATATTGCAGCACAAACTGTCTTAGTTTGTATTAATTACAGACTTGATTAAAAACAATAAAATACAGAGATCTAATAATATCAAGTCACTGATACATGCTTGATAGAAAAAAAGGTCTTTCAAGGATTTTGGAAGAGCAATGCTGCTAATCAAATGCAGTGTAGCTTTCTGGACTAGTGCGCTCTGATTTAGTAACCTTAGCATTAACCAATACAAGGATATGTTTACCACAGTGGAGGCGACCTATAAATAGAGCAGGAAAGAAGTTAGTGTAATAAAACAGGTCTGTGGATTGTTTGCTTTCTTGTTGAAATATTCTAGATTAGTTCCTTTCCCTCTCTATTAAAAATCATTCTTAAAATAATTAAATTCTCACAGAGGTTCCATTTTGCTACATTGAGCTTTTTATGTGTGCAGAGAAACAGAAGTAGTTTTGTACCAAATCTGAACAGCTGAAATGAGTTGTAAGGGGTTGCTTAGTAAGGATTTGTTTGTCTAAGAGTATAAAATGAAAAGATAACAAGAAGATACCTAAAATAACTTATCTTTTTTGTGAAATTTAATATTATTATGCTCATTTACAAGCAATAAACTGGCTGAAGATCTTTACATGTAAAATGTGTGATGACATTATTTGTAAGGAAAAAGCTTTTTAAAAGAATCATTGAACTAAGAGGGTTATTTTAAAATGAAAAATAATGCTTAAATCTTAGTGATTCCACAGATACTATTATTTAAACTAAAGAAAGAATTTTGTTTAGTTGTGGACTAACCACTCATACAAGAATTTAGTATGTCCCTTCAAAAGGATTATGAAGTGAAGCTTGTGTGTAGTAAATCTGGGAATATATTCTTATAAGTTTATGACTGCGGTACCTTTTTCATTTGTATTTGTCAAGTTTTGAATATTCTTTATGCCTGATAAGTTGTGTTGCAGTAACTTTGCCACCTGGGATAATATAATACAGTAACTGTGCACACAGCACCATCGCTATCTGTTAGACTTATTCTGGAGTTCTGTGTTTGCAGAGAGCAGCACTCTTGTAATGATTTGCAAGGGCTGCTAAAATCACTGAAGGGGAAGTGGATGCAGAAGTTCTGAAATACTGAGTAATTTGTTTCCTTCATCTGATAACAAGAATTGTGCCTTACAAAAAGAAATACCTTAAGCTCCCATTATAATGCTGTTTCCAGTTCAAAAGTGATATGCATGTGTGTCTCTCTCTAATCCTCCGAGCTTCTCTCTGTGTATGATTTAGGGTTACATTCCGAAAAGCAAATGGGAGATGGACACTTCTGAGGCAAAGCTAGGTGGGTATTTATTTTTTCCTGTTTCTTATAGTTGGTATCTGATGATGTTTGCAAAGCCTGAATTTTCATTTTTACTGTCTCCTTACCAAAGACAAATAAATGTATTGATCTCATACACGTGTCTGAAACTGCAAAAGCGTCTATACAGAAAAGGAATTTGTCTTCTGCCAGAGGCAAGGGACTTACGACTTTCTAACCATCGCTGTTTTATATATTCATTAGTTGTTATTCCATCTGTTCAAGGAAAGTACTTTGTCTTAAAACTTTAAAAAAGCAGTATTTCTATTCTTTATTACTCTCCTCTGTATTATGAAAAGCAAAGAGTCAACTTACATTGCACTGCATTCTTGTTCGTACTGCATACCTGTTTTCCAACCCCAAATGTCGTCAGTAACTTCTTACTTTATTGGAGACATGCCTGTTAGCAAACTGTCAAAGATCTTTCTCACTCTCCAAAATTGACATGTGTGAGGACAAAGTAGAGCCGTCTTTTGAAGCTGGTTCTGAATGATTACGCCTCGGTGTATCTTTTCAACAGCTTAAGTAATGAAAAGTTAAAGTTTGTTAAGCCTTTCTATTCCAGGAGAGTACTAGAATTGTTGATAGTAGGGTGCAAAATGGACTTTCCAGGAGCACAAGGGCACTATTTTTGCTGCACTTTTTGTTCTGATTAGCGCTGCTGGTTGCATTAGATGTAAGTGCTAATATTAGGATTCTGTCAAAGTCAAAAGCAACTTTTAGCCTGAAATGCATGCACCACGGCTGTGATGAAAGTTGTACTTGTGGAAAGGGGTTTCTACCTGTTCTGATCAGTTTTGTGGGCTTTTTACTGAACAGTAATGGTTCTAAGTGAAGATTTTATCAATGCAGTCAGCATAAAACTGCTATTTTCTGTCAAGTCTGAGAAGTAACAAATATCTGAATGGGACATAGGATGTCTTAACATTTTGAGGTTTGCTTCTGCGTGTGTGGTACAGCCCTGTGTATCATTACTTTCCAGTAACCAAAATCACCATTGCACCATAGAAATAGCATTAGAGGTTCTGGCTTACGTAAAGCAGCCTTTCATCTTTTGCTCTTAACTGCTTAGCTGCACCATCTCTTCTGGTGCTGTGCTATATTTTAAGTCATTTAAATATTTGTGAAATATATAGATTTTGTGGCACCTGCAGTACAACTCTACTTGTACTCAATGATTCTGGCATATCAAACAGCTAGGCAGTTAGACAGAATTACTTTGGGATTGCTCAGCATTTTTCTTGTAAGAGTTGATTGATTTAATAGCTAAAGTTCATTTCTTAAGTTTATAATTATTTTTTTTCCCCAGTTATGTATGAAATCATAGTACTGAAAAACTGCATTGTTGAAGAATGTTCTGGTACACTGTGTTGTATTTCAAATAATATCGACTTTTAAATACAGAGTAGTAGGAACAGATGCGTTGCGCTGCATACGGTTAATCATAAGTTATCCCATGCGTTTTACAAATGTCACAGGAGTCCAAAGTGTGTTCTAAAAATATTTAAGTCTCATGTGTAGTTTCTAGCAATGTGGAGACTCTGACTGCAGCAGAAATTTATGAATAGCTTGCAAAAGTTACCTCGCTTGTGATCAAATACTGCTAACAAACAGAAACAAAGAACTGTGGTGCATTCCTTTGCATATGAAAACTCCATAATATAAAACACAGGATTTTTTTTATGGTCTCCCCTTAAATGAAAAATGGGGAGCAAGCAACAGAGTCAATTTTATACTAAAGTAAGTTAGTTGCAAAGCTGTTGCAATAATCCTGTAACAATCAAACTCCATTGACAAACTGGATGTTAGCATGCTGTAACACATAGACAGAGGTGCTGAGGTCATCTTTCTATTAAATCTGCCTTCATGATATTACTTCTGTAACTACCCTCTAGATTCATTTTTATAAATGTAAAGAACTATAGATTAAAAGTAAATTCTGACAGAACATACATTTTTAAGAAATGCCAGGCATTCCTATATAAGTGAATGCTGTTTCTTTGAAAAATCGCTCTGCAAGGGCGGACAACTTTTAGCTCAGGGTATGCATTATAAGCACTTGCAGTCTGTGAGTAAGAATTACTGTATTTAATTCACAGTAAGACTTTGTTGTAGGTGACCAACTAAAATTATTTTCTGAAAAGCATGTAAACTGTGGTATGCATTTGTTATTCCAAAGTTGAGTTATTTCCTGGGAGCTGGCCTGCCCATTAGGTTTATTGCGTTAGTCCCAGAGGGCACACATTTGCAGAAGTGATAGAAGTGCAGACTCCAAAAACAACGTTGTAGGTCTTGTTTTGCTTTTTTCTGTTCTTTCTGAGTAGATGGTGTTACAGGACAGCACATTAAGATCTTGCGGATTGTAATAAGCCTCAGAAGAGGTCTGAAAGGTTTGAGTTCTTTAGCTGCAACCCTGACTTGTGACAGTAGCCATACTGTATGCACCAGAGCTCTTGCTGTAGTTGAGATTTATTTTGGCAAGAGTAATGCATTCCCAAGTATGTGTGTGGTATATCATTTCCTTATGTGTTGTGAGTGCACAGCCATATTTTTATTCTAAAATCTAATCACTGGTCTGTCTCCGCGCATAATGCACACAGGTTCTTGTATTTAATTTAACAGAAATGGGCTTGCATTTTTCAAATTTTACTATATTACTATATTAGCGCAATGCTTTGTTTCAAAGTGCGGCTTAGTGGTGAGTTCTACAAACTTTCAGGAAAGGAGAAATGAGCTCTGGCATAGCTGAACTTTTGATACCGTTGTAAAATTTGGTCTAGAACGCAGATAACATTTCAGATAAAACTTTGGAGCTTTTATATAAGAAGAGCAAAAATTTAGCTGATTGATTCATTTAGTTTTTGAAGGAGCTAATTAAGTCAGGTATTTTCAGATGCTTCATTATTAAAATTCTAAAGGTGAGTTTTCAAGTTCTGCGGGTTTTCCGAAATGCTGCTGCTTCATTGTTTTTAAAATTGAAATGGTAAAATGATGTTTGATAGTTTAACACTAAATAATCATCTGCCATAAGTATTCACGAGCACCATTGTTACAGAATGACACCTTGTCTCATTTTCAGAAAAGAATGTTCTGAAATAATGCCTTGTGGTAGGCTTTTGAAGTTTCTGTACTGTGTGTCTACTGCATGGCACATGCGCCTTGAACCACGATAGTATGGATGGAAGCAGATCCCTCTGGAAAAGCAATCGAACTTCAAACATGGAAGGAGATAACACGTTTTAAAATAAATTCTGTGTAGCAGTAACAAAAAGATACAGAGGGGAACCTCATACTCCGAATGCCTCCTGAACTTCTCTGTTGATGTTTGAGAGTTACACGTTTCTTGGCGATGTTTTCAATTGGTCTATGTGCAGCAGGGAGTGGGAGATGGAACTCTTTCTTTCACACTGGTAATTAGATGAGCTCGCATTGAATTTTTAGTTCTTCATATTCCGAAACACTCCTCAATGCATTTGTTGCACTCGTTTTCAATGTCATTTTTTTCTGGAAACACTTATGCTACAAATGATCTGCATTGATTAATCTGAGAGTAACACTGAGGAATAGTGCAAGTACATTATGTGCCAGAGTAACAGAGGAATATTGTATAAATCAGTTTTGTCTTCTCGAGGGGGTGCCGCCTTTCTGTGGAGATTGGGCTTCAAATATGGCAGATTTAACTTAGAGCAAAAGAAGAAACTTAACTGAATTGTGTAACAAGATATCATGTAACAAATACCAATATTCTGTACAGTTTTCTTACATGATGGCTTTTTGAAAGGCAGAGGGGGATTAAAATGTTTTCTTAGAAGAAATTCTGTATCTGTTCCAGGGAAATGCGGCAAAGGTGGAGTCTTAGAGTTCTACTTCATTAAGTTATGGCATTTGAATTACACTAGCATGTCTACGTAACCATTGCCTCACATTATCTCCATTGCTGCTCTTTTCTCTCCCATATTAAGTAAAAAACCTCATCTCTAAACAGAGCTTTTAATGCACACCTTTAAACATTCTCTTCTGCTATCCAGAAAATAAGTGGCCTTGTATTTGGCTTGTTTCTGAGGCCTTTTGTGGGTGAATTATATCAGTGACTTCTGAAACAATGTTACTGACATAACTGGAAATGACTTACAGAATATAACTGCCAAGCTTATCATTCTTTCTGCATATACTTGGATTGTTGGCTTATAAAATGGTAGCATACATCGACAGAAGTACTAGGATTTCCTTTGACTTGTAAAGCTGTTTTTCATTTTTATGCTTTGTTGTTCGTAATCGTACAATGAATACTTCATCTCCTTTCCAAAAGCAGTTTGCCACATATATTTGAGAAGGTGGTGTTTTTTCACTGAAAATAAGTGTCCAAAGAGGAACAAAATTTTAAGACCTAGGAATGGAATTGTTTCTCCTCATGCCTTTTCAGTTCAATAAGAAAAAGAAGAAAATTATGACTGTTGGACAAACGTACTGCTCAAAAATTCATGACTGACCTCCTACAACATGAAACAAAAGATTCTGAGAATTTTTTTTTCCAATCCTGGAGGATTTTTTGAGTGTGTTTTCCTTGTGGGGAGAGAAAAAGAAAGGGGGGATCAGGGTTTCCACGGAGCTTTTTGTTTAGCAGAAATAGTATCTCAAAAACTTGTCTTTGATGCATTAAATTATATGATCATCACTTGTTCCCTGATATTGCGTGTGTGCCATGTTTGACACATATTAAACACCAAATTTGGGATAAATGCTACAGCTTTGGTATTGTGTTCAGATACAGAACAGGTGGGTCTGTGGTTCCTAGCTATTGGTGGCTATATTGTACCTGTAAGGACAGACTCCATATAGTATGAATATCCAGAAGAGCAAGCTTTGCTCCCTCGTGCAAATAACAAGACTGAGTGTTATTGCCACACAGTTAATGTGAAACATCAATAAAACTTGAAAATTATGTTGAGTCTTCTCTAGTTTATTTCGACTCTCATCATTCCGCCTGCCAAGACAAACTGGATGTACAAGTTCTGCTGCTCATTCTTTTGAAAATTTTTCCACTCTCATCTTATTTGTGTGAACAATAGAAAAAAAATCTCCTTTAACTCTGAGGCTCTGTGTTTGTTCTCAGACAAGCTGGATGGTTTGCGGACTGGCACTAAAAGGAAGCGTGACTGGGAGGCAATTGCCAGCAGAATGGAAGATTATCTGCAGCTTCCAGATGACTATGATACACGTGCTTCTGAACCTGGAAAGAAAAGGGTAATAAATTTTCAAATGACTTACTGTCTGTATATGACCATTTAACGGTCTCTGTGAAACAGTTTGTATCAAGTTGTTCAGGATCTATGGGTATGGCAATTTCACTGACTCACTTTTCATTTTGCTATTCCATTAGATTCTGTACGAGAATATTCTTGAGAGTAAGGTCTTCCAGAGGTAAACGGATTAATTATAAGGAAGTGAGGAATTGTAGATTAACTATGCATGGCGTGGCTTTTGAGGTTGAGAAGAGAATCATGTCCCATTTTTTACTGGGGGAGATGATGCACTTTGCTTCAGAGATATCTGTAGAGTCCTTTTCTTATGCTGTATGTTTTGTGATGAGATAGTGTGATATACAGTGCAAGTTCTAAGACAAGATGATGATTTTATTAAGCTATTTTATTGTTAGGTTTTATAAGAAGTAGGCAGAAAAACAGTACACTGTTCTTATGTTCAAAAAGATTCAGCTGAGGAAAGTATCAGCTATGTAGGTTTTATATCAATCAAGTCTTGTAGACATTACGTCCTGCATAAAGCTTGGGAGATGGTGTATAAGTTGGCTTCAACCACTTTATATGTAATTTTGTTCTGAACATAAAATGGTACATCTTCAAATACCATTGTGGAAAAAGGCAAAAAATCATAAAGGAAGATGAAAGAGAGGTAATAGGAAGAGGTAATAAAGAGGTAATACTTTTTTTTTTCCCCCTCTCCAAAATAGAAAGACTAGATTTTGCCACTAAAAGTAATTGGAGTTAACGGTCAGTGTTTGGACTTTGTTTTGTTCTGTAATGTCAAACAGAAAACGTGTAGTACTGGACAGCGTGTGTGTCAGAGAAATGCCAATACTAAGGCATTGACAGAGGAAGTGATGGTGGAAGAAAGCAGGCGTTACTTATC